CTCCGGTCAACAATCCGGACAACACACCGCATAAAGCTTGACCGATTAACACTTAGAATCAAAAATCAACATCTTTGTCCGGATAACAAGTCTGGACAATACCCCGCTCACAACTTAACCGATTTAAAACAATTCGGCCACCAAATGGTCGTATTCCTACTTCTCAGTTCAAAAAGATAACTATTCTTACCAATCATAACCCAGTCGACATTTGATCGGTTTAAAACAATCCGGACAATACATCGTCCAACCTTTGACCGATTTAAAACAATCCGGACAATACATCGTCCAACCTTTGACCGATTTAAAACAATCCGGACAGGCTTTGTCCAAACAAAATCCTTAAACAAAATTCTTTGATTTCATTCAAATAATAAACAAGATTCATATAAAACCAATAAAAGTTTTATGCAAAAGAGTTTAGAAATTACTCACCTTAACAAGCTTTTGGAATCAAATACTTGAAATCAACTTGAATCTCCAGACAAGAAATAATCTGGTCAACCTCTCTTCTCTTTTAAATTGCACAACTTTATCAAAATAGCAAGAAGAAGAAATATGGAGGCTACGCCCTCCTTTTATACTTTTCTAAAAATGGAAGGTCGGCTAACAGCACTCTTCCCACAAAAACTCTCATGCACATGCATGCATCCACACATACCATGCATTTCCTAATATGCATATGTGTAAAATAATATATATATATATATATATATATATCCACATATATACATATTCTGATACACAACCACATTATACAAATAATTTTCACATATCAGCATGATTAAACGTATCAATTTATCATGCTATCACGTAATCATTTAATCAGATAATCACATATTAATTATCTTGGGTGATAACCAGGATCCGATTATCACATTATCCACCCCTTGAAAGAATTCTGTCCCGGAATTCCTTTAATCAAAAAGCCATGGGTACTCTGTTCTCATCTTTGATTCCAATTCTCATGTTGCTTCTGGTCCTTTGTGAAACTTCCACTGAATCTTCACCAGACTTATTTCTTTGTTTCTCAATACTCTAATCTTTCGGTCAATTACAGCCTCCGGTGTTTCCACAAAATTCAGCTTAGTGTCTAATTGAATTTCTGGCAATGGTATAGCTAGACTCGGATCAACCAAACATTTCCGTTGATTCGATACATGAAAAGTGTTGTGAATCAGACTCAACTCTTCTGGCAGCTCTAACTGATATGCTACTGGCCCAATTCGTTTACATATTCTGAGCGGCCCCACATACCTTGGACTGAGCTTTCCTTTCTTCCCAAATCTGATAACACCTTTCCATAGCGAAACTTTTAACCTTGGTTTTAAAAAGCACGATGTGGTCCGATGCGTTAAAGGTCCCGGAAGCCGATGCGTGATGCGTGATGCTGATGCGCTCGCATCACGCACGTGATGCGCCCGGTATTCAAAAAATATTTATAAATTAATTCTACATATCAATTTCTACCTTAAAAATACTTACCTATCAAAATATTTCATTTATAACATAAAGTAGTTAAAAAAGTGGCATTAGAATCTTAAAAAGTTCGTGAATCAGAATAACAGAAGTACATAACACACAAACTACTACCATGAAGAACACAATTACACAAGTAAATGTCTAATAGTCCTAATCCCTAAACTAAATGACCAACCAAGTGACCAACTAATACTCCCCAAGATCAGCATCATCAAACCCCAACACGGTATGACTATCGACTACTGCTGCTGSTGGTGGTATGACATATGACTATCGACTACTGCTGCTGCTGCTGGACCGCCTATTGCCTACTGCTGCTGCTGCTGGTATGACTATCGAGTATCGACTACTGCTGCTGCTGGACCACTGGTATTGAGTATTGACTATCGAGTATCGACTACTGCAGTACTGCTGTCGGCTTCTAAGTTCTATCGATTAGGTCGCTTCCGTACTCGCTAACAGTCAGTCCACGTTCTATCGCTAAAAGTCACTTAGGTTCTATTTTACATAACTAAGAAGCCCAACTAAAAAAAGCCTAACTAAAAAGTCCAAGTAAACACTGAAAAAGGGAGCCCAAAACACAACATACATGATGCGCTGATGCCTAAGTGATGCACGCATCGTGTGATGCGTAGGTGATGCGTTCGCATCATGGAATCGCATCGCATCAGACTCTTTGATACGTTTTGTCCAGCGCATCGCGCATCAGAGCGCATAATGCGCGCATTTTTAAACCAAGCTTTTAACATTACAAAATCACCTATATTAAACTCAATTGGCTTTCGACGATTATCTGCATAACTTTTCTGGCGATCTTGTGCTGTTTTGATTCTTTCACGAATCTGTTCGATCTTTTCAGAAGTTTCTTGGACAATTTCAGGACCTGTCAACTGTTTCTCACCCACTTCATTCCAACATAACGGCGTTCGACATTTACGTCCATACAACACTTCATATGGTGCCGCTTGGATACTGGAATGGTAACTATTGTTATACGCAAACTCTATTAATGGCAAGTTATCTTCCCACGATCCCCCAAAATCAATAATATAACTTCTTAATATATCTTCGAGAGTCTGAATAGTTCTTTCACTCTGCCCATCAGTTTGCGGATGATAAGTTGTACTTAATCGGATTTCAGACCCTAAAGCTTTCTGTAATCCTTCCCAGAACTTTGAATTAAACCGACTATCTCTATCAGAGATAATAGACAAGTAAACACCGTGTCTGGTAATAATTTCTTTGATGTAAATCTGCGCTAGTTTTTCTAAAGAGTATTTCCCTCTTATTGGTAGAAAATGCACAGATTTAGATAAACGATCAACAATTACCCAAATCGCGTCATACCCCCTTGGAGTTCGAGGTAATTTCATAACAAAATCCATGGTAATGTGATCTCATTTCCATACAGGTATTTCTAAGGATTGAAGACTTCCGTACGGCTTCTGATGTTCAATCTTGACCTGTAAACACGTCAGACACTGTTCCAC